TCCCCGTTGAAGCCCACTACTCGTGTGTGGTGGAGAAAAAGGCCGAGTAGCTTCTCCGCCGTGTGGCTGGGGGAGGAGAGCGCATGCCGAAGAGCAATTTCTCCTTCAAGCGACGCTCCCCCGCCTCCTTCTCTTCGTCGGTCTTCTCCTCCCACAAGGTGTAGACTAATGAGCCCACGCAAAGCAAAATCACCGCTACGAGACTCATGTACCACGGCGTGTAGCCCTTCTCCAGGTCCCACTTGGGCACAATGATGAGTACCAGCGCCGTAATCGGCGAGGAAAGCTGGCCAATCATGGAACACAGCGTCACACTGTATTGGTTGAGGTAGGCTGAGCCAACATAGGTAAACACAAACCCCACGGTGTACACCATGCAGTAGGAGAAATTTGTGTCGGAGTGAAATATAAACCAAAGCCCTTCATAGAAATTAGACCATGCACCCTGCACGCTGTGGCTACCGCCCCACCAAGGGATGGCGTCCATGGGAAGAGCGAGCATAATCAACACAAATTGAATATTCGTCCCGCAGGCCAGCATGACAAGCTTCACAAGGGAGTCGCTTCCCTGCATATGAAGAAGCGAGGGACTTCCAATTTCTCCCACAACATTCGTTTCACCGGAGGCGTCCTCTGGCGTTGCCACTCCCCCTTGGGGCGTGGGGCTGGATTCGATCTCACTGCAGCCATTCTCGGTGCCAATTTCACCGCCCTGCGCACCCGAATCTAGGTTCCTTTTACCGTCTTGCTGCTGCTCCGGCAGTGGCTCTGGCCGCGGCGACAACACCTGACGCTCCTCAAACGAAGGGTCATAAGTAAAGTGAATCATGTACAAACTCTGCCAGATGTTCATCAAGACCGTGGGGGGAACGGAGAGGAAGAAGATGAGGCTCCACCACGCCTTGTCCTTTGACTCGCCCCCAAACCCACGTGCAAACTGGTACGCGGAAGCCATCACCACCCCAGACACGATAAGAAAAAAAGAGGTGAAGATCCAGATGTTCCAGTAGCTTCTCGGGTCTTGCAAAATCCACTTGGTGAACCCCGCCGCATAGACTGGCACAAGGCTGGTAAACAAGGCCTGTAGCACTTCCGGCGTATACGAGGCGGCGTAGATGGCGAGGTAACTGTTCACTGCGTCCGCCACCCCGATGAGAAATAGCAGCCACCATCCGCGAGCACAGCGAAGAAACAGAAGCGAGGGTCTTACAGCGATGAGGTACACCACCAGCATAACCAAAAAAAACAGGCCAAACAGTAAGGATGAAACGGCGAGTGTTGCGAAGTTGCCAGGTGCCCCATCCTTGGGAAACGAACGAAGCCAAAAGTTTAGCCCAATAATTTGCATTGCATTTCCACTTGTCACAAGAAGTATGAGGATGACCACCCAAGTAATACGTAATGGGTGGGTACGGCGCAGCTTTCTCAGAAACTTTACGAAAACGGCACCAACAGACGAGTAGGATTCCTCCACCGCAAGAACGCCGCCGGCGTCATCATGGACCGCATTGGCGGTGCTCTCCCCGAAAGACGCATTGCCGTCCCTCTGCTTCGACGAAGAGCCTTTACCCCCTGATTTCACACAAGGCGACGGGGGAGAAGTTTCCCTATGTTCTGCAACCATCAACAGCAAGGGCGTTGAGACACTCCACGGACCTTCCTGTATATGTTTTTTTTTTAAATGCACCACCTCCCGACAATTCAACTCAGGTATCTAGAGAAAAGTAAAAAAAGTCGAGGAGACGCCACTTCACACGGGCCTTGCTTGTTCGTAGTATTGCTGATATTTCTCAGTTTGCACGCAGAATTCGTTAGAAGTGAGAAGATAAAGAGAAAAGCAAATTCAAACCCGTGCCGTCCGCAGGCACTGTCCCCAACAGACACGAAGGAGATCGCTCAATCCTCAGTCCAGTCAACATTTGGCCAAGAAAGGCTTTCCCTCCTTTTTCCTTTTTCCGGCGCTTGCCCCGCTCGCCCTTCGTTAGAATATAGAATATTACAAAAGCAGAAGAAAAAGCAAGCACAGAAACAAGAGAGACCTCCGCTACGACACAGCACAAGAGAGACAGAATAAGAATATTCATAGGCAGTCAACTTTACCGCGCGCGATAATCTCCGCATCCCACATACAGAGCATTATCTTTTGATTTGTTTTCTTTCCTTCCCCACCCCGCACTACACTCTCGCTCCACATCTCCCTCCTTTACTCTCATGGTGACTGCCGGCGTCACGACAGAGGCATAGAATCAACGCGCTTCAACACCTGCACCACCTCATGTGCTGCCGTTTTTGCCTCCTGATCCGAACCCACTCCGGCCAAAAATTCGTAGCGTAACTTGAGAGCTAAAAGTCGTTCCAGTGAGTCATTGCCGTAGTTCTCCGCAAGCGTTTTTTCCGCCGACGCGAAGAGTCCGGTCGCGTATAAGTAGTCCCGCATATCCGCATAGAGGGACGCCATGGCAAGCAGTGTCCAGCCGGCCTTGGGGTTCTGCTTGTGCTCCGGGTTCAAGGCGCGGTTAAGCTCCAACGCCCGCTCAAGCGTCTCACCTGTGCGCCTGCGCACGACGTCAATGGTCATCGCCGCCGGCTGTTGCAGGTCCGCGAAGATGAGATCGGATGAAGTTGACACGCTGGAAATGGGGGACAGGGTGAACAACTGTTTGGGCATGAAGACGGGGGAGTCACGGCGCGCGGTCCCCGGGGGTCGTGGAGCGTTCAACAAAAAAGTAGCATAACTCAGCAAGCAGGAGGTGTACGCGTCCGTCTCGAACCGTCGTCCCTCCATCCCATCCGCCGACATGATGCCGTCCGCCTCCAGTGAGGTGTTGCACGGGGAGGAGTAGAACTTGGCGGCAGCCTCAAACATCTCCATCACACTTTTATCGACTTCATTTGGTCCAACGGACCAGTCAAACACACGGGCTGCCATTTCGGCCTGGGCAAGCATAAAGAGGCCCAACTCGGGTTCCTGCTTGCGAGCCAAAATACCGTCTAAAATGGGCTGCTTCCTTCGCAGGAACTCGTAAACCAGTTTGGCAGACTCATTAATGTGTTCCTGAGCGCGTCCCAGGTGGCCTGTTAGAGGGATTGTCAGGATTCCTTTTAGCAACAGGAGCTTAGGCGCATGCCAGCGGAGCTCAGGGTTTTTCTCGGCGTGAGTCTCAGACGCCTTCCGACTCAATTTTAATAGCTCATCAATACGATCCATAACCATCGATAGCGTGAGAAGCGTCTCCCCGCTCCCGTTTGCCTCATCCATCACCATGGACCAGGCAGAAATATTGCCATATTTCTTCTTCACGCCGTCTTCCTGCTTCGCATGAAAAGGCCTCTGATGCAGCGCACAAAAGGCGCGAACAAAGTGGGCAACAATAACACACGCAGTGTCAATTTGCAGCACATCTGACTTATCCCAACTGTCGTTAAAGAAAAGAAGACGACCTGCCTGTTTGAGAATCGATCGGTACACATCGCAACGCTTGGCGTAATCGGAGCGCGGCAGATGCTCAACACCGTTGAGAAGTTCAAACTTCACCGCTGACGTCGCCCGCAGAATATCTGCTGTGGCGGAGTTTTTAAGTCCACCCACGTTCTCCATGATCTCCTCCCCGCGAAGCAACAAGCCAAGGGCCTTGTCGCGGCACCTTCCCCACTCCTGCGCACCCATGGCGCTGGGCTTTGACCATCGCCGCTGTGGGGCGCCCTCTGCTGGCTGAAGTAGCGCCACGGCGTCTCGTAACTCCGGAATGCCTTGCGGGCGCAGGTGCGCGCGCGGCTGAAATCGCGGGAAATAAAAGGCCAAATCTGCCGCATGCACAAAATTCGTTGGAAGGCATGTGTCGGCAACCGCTGTCAAACGCCTGGGGGTGCAGTAGAACATTCGGCCGCCACAACCACGCAACCCCGCGTGTTTGCCGACGATCGCAGGGGGAGTGGTGCGCAAGGCAGAGTAGTTACTTGTTAGTTACCGCAAACCCACTCGCCCGGCGCCCTCGTTTCCAGCGGTGCAACCGTGTTCGGCGGGGTTGGCGTGGAACAATTATTATTAGACCCCTATAAAGGCAGACGGAGGGGGGGGGGAAGGAACAAAACGGAAGAAGAGGAAAATGAGCCCAAGAGACTCATTGCCAGGCATATGGCCCGTATATATATAAAAAAGGAAACAGCGCAAAAAGCAGAGCAAAATGCCACGTCATAGTTATCATTTCCATTTCTGAACAACTCTCCCCCCTCCGTATGTAAGGTTTTGCATGTGTCTGTCTGCTCATTGCGTGAACCGCAGTTGTACCTTATCCAACGCACTGTCGCTGGCGACCGCGGCCTCATCCGCGTAGTCACGCTTTTGCCCGCCTTTAATCGCAGCAACTTGTCCTTTCCGAATCAGCTCCACGCGTTCCCAGAAGAGCTGCTCATCACGAGACATCTCCCGCCACTGTTCCTGGCGAATGGCCTCATCGTTTAGAGAACTACATGCACGCTTTTCAAACTGAATAAGTGCGGGAGCAAATATTGGATGCACAGATCCAATTGGTATCGATGCGGGGTCTACGTCCTTCGTGTCCAGTGCTGTGACACACTGAGACTCTGCATTCACCAGACCAACCCTTGTCGCGTCTCCAGTAGAACAGTCACTGGCCTCTTTGCCCGACTCACACCGCAGTAAGGCCGCTGCCTGCTCTTTTTTCCCAAACTGAACACATTGCATCCACGGCGTAGCCGCCTCATGTCGCAGCGCCTCAAACGCCAAGGGCCGAAGCGTGTTTGCATCCTCTTCATACCATTGCGTTAGGCTGGCCCCAGCCTGCATCTGTTTATTGTGGGACAGGCTCCGCTGGAGCGCCGCCTCCTTTGCGGAGCGTATCTTCCGCGTCGCGTCCCACACCGCCGCCTTGACGCTTTCGGCAAGTTTTTCAAAGTCTACGGGTGCCGCAGATGTAACTCCGGCAGGGACGCCAACAACGTTACTATTGGATGCACTGTCGCCATCCGCGGTGGACGGTGGGAGTCCTTTGCGGTAAAACGGCTCCCACACCGCCTTGTCGACAAGACGCACCGCAAGCACTGTGCCGTAGCCGCTGCACACCACCTCCACACCGCGGCAGTGCCCCGTGAAACGGCGCCGCACCAACTCACGGTGGGAACTCTCGAGCATCATTCTGTGCTTGAGCGCACCCACCAGGTTATTCGTGTACCGAAAAGACATGAAAAGAACAAATATAAAAAGCTAAAAGGAAAAGCGCCCTGCGACTCTTTTTTTTTTTTGTGTATGTGTGTTCTTGCTCACGTTCGTTACTTCGTGGGGAGGTTTCCCTCACTCCTGTGGCCGACGGCAACAAGGGAAGAGAGTCAGAAAGGAAAATAAACCAACGCATCCGACAGGAAGCAAGACACGCCAAAGGCAAAAGCAAAAAGAAAAAAAAGGATAATATTGTAGGGATAACAGAGTAAGGCGACAGAGTGAACACACAGATAAGTCAATGCAAGGAGGAAACTAATAAAATGAAAAATTCTTGCTCAAATGGAGGGCTTGTGTGTGTATGTGTGTGTATTCTCTGCTGCGACTGTTGTTGTCCTCATCGCCGCGGTCCATCGCCCCGGCCCGTGCAGCGCTGCGGCGTTGGGGGGAGAGGAGGACGTCACACCACCTGAAACTCGACAAGGAGGCCAAAGTGATCGGAGGGGTACAAGTACTCTGGAACGGCCTTGTCGCAGTTCACCTGCCTCGTGATCCCCAGCCCACGCACAGGGGTGGTGCCGACAAGCTCCGTGTGAATGGGCTGCAGGTGGCGGGAGGCAAACAGTACGCGATCGGCACGGCCAAAGAACTCCCGCTCAATGATGTGTCCCGCGTATGCGTTGCGATTGCCGTCGATGGTGTATCCCTCACAGTTGCTGTCGTCCTCCGGGTGAAGCAGCGACCAGGCGTCTTTGAAGCCCATCTCGGGTGGGAACGTGAAGTAATTACTCGCACAGTCATTAAAGTCTCCCATGACAATGGCTCCAGGCAAACTACCAGCAAGAGAGGGGCGTGTGCGCATCCGCTTCGTCAGGTTTTCCAGCTGCGTTGTACGGTTGTTGACATTGTTTTTGTTGTACGGGGCGAGCAGGTGAAGTGACCCAATTGTCACTGGAACCTTTTTGGAAACGGCAATAGTAACTTCAGGCATGACACTGGTGTGGCCGGCGAAGGCAGGCACGTTTGCATGATGCATTCCCTCTACGCGCAAGTGACGCCTCACAAGCAGCATCACACCCCAAGGACGAATGACATGGCTATCTCCATTACAAGACAGCGCATAACGCTCCCGCACCCATGGCTGCTCAGAGAGGTACTTCCACCATGCCGGCTCCACTTCCTGCATCCCAATCACGTCGGCATCAAGCGCCTCTAACGTCTTGGCGAGCGCCACGTACCGCGTTGGTGTGCACCAATCGATACCGTCTCTACCCAGCGGAGTACGCTCACCACTGTGACGACTGAACTGCACATTCCATGTTACCACACGAAGCGTCGAAAGCTCTTCCGTTGGCGTTGATAGCTCAGTGGACCTAATTCCTTCGCATGGCTCCTCACCCCAGCCGCCATTCTCTTTGGCCGTATACACAAAAAGAGTGTTCTTCGACGCCACACCCACCCCATCCAAGACGCGCGACGTCACCGTGGATGCCCCAACGCCAGCGCGATACCGCACTCCAAGCGCCGCAGCTCGAACGCCCAGGTTGATGCTTTGATAGGACCACCCCGGCGGAGGACCGCGGAAACCAGGCGTGCGCACAAAGTAATGGGACGGCTGGTGATCAAATGCGGCGTGCTCCTTCAAGACAGGGCCGCCTTCGTCCAGGCTACCGCCCTTCACAACCTGTAGAATGCTTCGTGTCTTTTCAATCGCTGCCAATACATTTTTTGTGTTAACAATGTCCTCGGCGACGCCGGCGGGCAAGGCATGCCCTCTCGTAAAGACGGGAATAATTTGTTCAATCATCTCTGGCTTAGGGGCACTTAAAAGAAGGGTTTCTAAACCTGTAAGAGCAAAGGTGTAGTCGGCAGACGCCACAACAGTGGCAGGAATCTTTCCCTGGTCTTCTGCCTTTGCTGTTGTCGCGTTGACCGCGAGATCCCCCCCTGCCTCTTCCCGAGCCGCTGTGTTGAGGTACCTAAGATGACCAAGAAAGCGCTCAAGCAGAATCTTTGGAGGCTTCTCTGGGACGGTGTCGTTATCCTCCGGTGTCCAGCGAAAATTCCTGATGCCACCGCTGCATATCATGGCGTGAGTTTGCAGGAGCACCTCAAGATAGTCCGCGGATTGTCGACACGGCCTCGGTGCCCCCCCTGTTTTGCGGGTTGCCCGCGCCAAAACGCGTTCCAGGACACCAGGAGACAGCAGCAACGAGGCGTCATTTGGCGTTTCCTCAAAAAGATGCTGCTGCTGGGCCCCAGCAGCCTCCTCGGCAGTGTAGGCCTCCATCAGCTCCTTGAAGTTGACCCCCAGCCCACTGAGGTCGGTGGCCGAGATGCCGTTTGCCATCAGATACAAGAAAACAATGTCCGTGCGCACCAACGCGAGCCTCTTCTGGAGTTCTTGTCGCCCAGTCCCCTGATCCGCACTGCTGGTCGCCGTCTCTCCCTTCAATAGATGATCCATCGCGAGCCACTCAAGCGACTCGCTCATGGAGAGCGACTTCATTTCACCTTGCTGAAGCGTGACTGTCGTAATGTTGTGGAACGGCGTGGCCCCAAGGGCGGAGAGGAACAAATCCGTCCCACCAATGAGGCAGAAGGTGTCATTGAAGGTCACCTCCGCCGGTGTACCAGACAAGAGTGGCGGGGAAGGAGTGACGGCGCCGTCGGGCAAAGCGCGTGAGGCGAGATCAAGCATCCAAGACGAAATTTTGCCCTCCACCGGTCCAGGAACAGCGGCACCACTGACGACAAACTCCTTCGGCGGCGTGCGCAGGTCCACCGCAACATGCCGCATCTTGTCCTCCAGCAAGTACACCATTGGAGAGGCCGCACTACGGTAAAATTTTCCCTCAAACTTTTTCCCTGGGTAAAGCCGCATGTGGCGAACCTTCCACAGCGGTTCACTGCCATCAATAAAAATTGCAAGCGACTTTTTTGGCTGAATGCGGCGCAAAATAACATTCGTTACCTGCCGGTGCAGCACCTTGACGGTCTCTGCATCGCGATCCTGCCCGATAAGATCCCGCGTCAAGCGGCCCGCCGCACCAGCGAGGGCGCCCATGTCGATCGCAACGTGATCAAACCCCCAGCCGCTGCGGTTGAGGACATTGTTGAACTCATCGGATATCTTCGCTGAGGTCCGAAAATCTGCCGTCCACAGAGTGCGGCAGCGGCGCAACATTCACGAGAAGAATAAAAATTTAAAAAAAAACAGGAGTGAAACGGCGAGTCGAGTTCGCCCCTTTAAAAGTAAGCAATGTATGTGAATGAATGTGTGCGAGGTTGGCAGCAATCGCCTAATTAACTACAGATGCCAGCTCTCTCTCCCTCTGTAATGAAGAATAACAACAACAACCAAATGAAGAGTATGTTGTAGATCAAATACTTCGCCTCTCCTTCTACCACTCTCCCTCACGCGTGCGCTCTCCCTTGTGCTCCACTAGTTGCATTGGTGTCCACGACAGCAGCAGAAAGAAGAAAAAGTATAAAGCAACAGATAAATGCAGCCGCAGTGCGGTCCTGCGCACATACCAGACACAAGTGCCGTCAGAGAACACAGTGCATTTCAAGCAGGCATAGACACACACACACACACCAAACTTAAATCGCCAAGGCACGCTCTTCCGCAGTTCCGACATTCTCCCCCTGTTCCCTCCCCCGCCCCCTCCTTATTTTGACGGGACTTCGTAAGCAAATTCATGTGCTTTTATTCATGCTAACTCCTCTTCCCAATATTTCTCATGCTCTATTATGCACCAAAGAATAGACGAAAAAAAAAAAGAAGAGGCAGGGGGGAAAAAAGACGGGAGTTAAGTTCCACAGTTCATTCATCCCACGTTTCCACCCTTGTTTTTTGGTAAGTCGTTGTTATAATTTTCTACCATTTTTTTTTATTCCGGTCTTGCATATTTGATTTACCCTCACGGTTCTTCTGTGGTGCAATATGACCGCCTGTACGCCAATGTGTGCATGTTTGTGTGTGTGCAGTCTATCGTAGGGAATGTGTCGTGGCAATACCTTGGACGCGCCCTAAATCTCTTATTCGCTCCTTAGCCACGCCAATTGCAGCCAAAACAGCACGCATACCTTGCCATGTTTCATCCCTCCCTTGGATGTCTCTCCCGCAGTTACTCACACGCACAGGGAAAGACCACTCCCTTCCCCTCGTTCAGTTATCAGCGTTACTTATGCATATATATATATACACACACATGTATACATGCATATAAGCACACACACACACACATATGTATATATATATATATATTATTCCGTTCTCGCGGGACAGCTCGTTCCGTCACCGCGTCTCCCACGAGAGCCACAAGTCATAGGCCATTAGAAGCTCTGGTAGATATACGACCCTGTCGTCTTCTGCGCCACCACACCGCCATCGGTTTGCGCCGTCACCTCCACCAACGTCGTGCCCCTTTTCCTGTCCAACACACGAACGCGCAACTCACCGGAGAGTGTCTCACCGCAGTTCAGGGGCAGTGGGTCAAGCAGCCCGACGCTCGTCTCTGTCCAGGCGTTGCCACCGCCAGGGCGAATGCCAATGACAAAGTTGGCACCGGGGTCATGCGGGTTTGTAAAAGTGGCGTCGACAAAGAAGGTCAGGTAGTTGACCGTCGTGTTACACGTCGCCCTCACCTTGAAGGGGACGGCAAAACCGTTCTCATCCGACTCCTTCTCCTCAGCGCCTCGGATCTTTTTAATATTGACGGTGTGAGCCAGACAAGTGCTTGTGACAATGTTTGACGAGGGAATAGCGCAGGTCTCTACTTCTTGGCGCACAAGTTTCTTCATTGGTTCCATGGTGAAGCCGTACACGTTGCTCCAGTACTCTACCGTGTTCAGCTGGAAGGAGTAGTCGCTGACGCCAACAATGTGGATCGACGAGCCATCCGGGCACATGACACCGTCCTCTGCCAGCAGGTTTTCCTGCGCAAAGAGAGCATCCTCCAGCAGCGGATCATTCACGAGAAAAGTTCCCATCCACTCACAAAGAATAACATCAAACTTCTTTACGGGAAAGTTTTGCATCATTTCTCGCAGAGACCCACGAAAGAAACTAATGTTCTGCAGTCCATTTTGTTCTGCCACCACCTGCGCTGCATCCACGATGGCGGAGTGGTCGATCGCCACAACAACAGAGGCTAGATTACGTGCAGCCATCAACGATATCAGCCCCATACCACAGCCAATGTGAAGCAGCGACTTTCCCTTGATGCTCTTTAACACAGATTGGTACGCGCGAAAGCGAATTCGATCGTGAATGGAGCTCAGGTTGCTTGAAATGCGTGCGCTGGAGTCACCGTAGAGACTCTTGGAGGTCGCGTTCTTTTCACCCTCGGTCGCAAGCAGCGACTCGTTCGCGACGACCCGCGACAATGAGCGATTTCCATTGGCCGCATTCTTGACGTTAGCATTTTTTCTCTTCTGTTGGCTCTGGCCTGACTCGTACGGCGGAGGATTCTTCTTGTGCGTCATTCTTTTTTTTTCTCCCCCGTCCTCTTCTCGTTTACTTCGATGCAATTAAAATGATGCGTATAAATAAAAAGGCAATTTTTTATTCCCTTTCCCCCCCTTTTTTTTGCTTCTACTTCTGCCGCTTCTCTTTCTTTCCCTCCCTCTCTCTGTGTGTGTGTGTGCGGAGGATGGGGGGTGAGGGCTACTGTGTGTCTTCACCTTGACGGAAGCAACAGGGGCGGGTGAAGCGGAGATGAAGGGCTCTCAGCAGATGCTGGGGAGTTCCCGTCGGTGAGGGCACAGGCGGCGAAAAGCGGGCCACGCGGTCAACACAGACAGGGATAAAGAGAGATAGAGAATGGGAGGGAGAGAGAGAGAAAGAAAGCAGAGGGGAGCATCGTACGCGCACGCACGCGCATGCGTAGAGACGTTACGGGAGGTTCTGGCAGGACGCACTGAGCGAGACTGCATTGGTGTACTTCCTGCCGCACTCACAAGGACGCTCGGGAGAAGAACATGCACGGGCCTTTCGCCGGCGTCAATGAATGCAACTTATGTCTGTAAATGTTTCAACAGCGTCGTGTTTATTCGGTGCACAACTTGTGGTGTCGAATCTTACAAATACGCACCGCGTGAGTCGCGTCGCGCCCTTCGCAGATTAAACATCAGCGACGGCGGCAAACGCACACAACTTCCTCCGCGGCGGGAGCAAACCGCTGCCGGGCGGCAGTGACGGCGCGCGCGCCTGCGAACGAAGAACTCAAACGGCGCGGCACATTATTTCACACGCCTTGGCCTTCGACCGAGGCAAATATCCCCCTTTCCCCCGCATCACACACCGCAGCGTGTTTCACGCAGGACGGCGAGGCGGAATTCGCACGCGGTTGCCCCAGAGTCGGGGTAGTGGCGGTGGGGCGAGACTCCCCCCGCAAGAAGAAGTGTCATGACGTGCGGAGCCCGCCCCCATCCCACACGCCGCAAGAAAGACGGGAAGGATGAAGAGAAAAATAAAAACAAAACAAAACCAACAACCGTCCATAAGCGAAAAATTAACTCGCCACGTTATTTCGCTGCAGAGCCGTGAAAAAATCCCTCACGCCTCTAAAACACTCTCCAAAATTGTGGGCCACCCGAATAGAGGGTTGCATCCACGAGGCAATGCGGCGTCGCACGTCAGGCCGTTCCCCGTAGCGTGCATCGAAAAGGATCACAACGGCGTAGTCCGCCGCGTGACGAATACAGCGGCCCATGCTCTGGTTGACAGTGCGTATGCAGAGGTCGGTAAAGAGGCTCCACTCCGCAGAGGAAGTAAACGGTGGAGATCCCTCATTCCTCACGGCATCCAAAGCGAGCGTCTTTGACCCTGCAGCGGCTGAGTCCCGCAGCAGACGTGTGTTGGCAACGTGACTCAAATACAGCTGCAGCTCCACATCGCTGGGATTGGCGTACGGCAACCCAACAACAATCACCGCACGGCCGAGGTCGTCGTTAAAATTAATGCCCTCTGACAACTTCCCACCCATGACGGCAAACAAAAGTGCACCCCCCGAAGACTCGGTGCGAATCCATCGGGTGTACTCCGCCAACATTGCCTCCACGGCGTTTGACGCAGACGCCCCTTCCTCGCCGCTCTGGGCGGGGAGCCTCGACGGGGCGACTCGCCCCGGCTCACGAAAGATTCGCTTCACCTCGTTAATTGCATCGTACAAGCCAGTTCGTTGCAGAACTCCCAGGAAGTTTTCCTCCATCTCATACGAAGTAAAGAAGACAATCACGCCATCGGGTATGACACGACAGAAATTCAGTAACGCGGCCGCAATTTCCTCCAACTGGCGGTTCCACTGAGTACGCGTCGCATGCTGAAGCTCCACACGATGACCACTTGGGCCAACTCCCAACGTGAACACCGCAATGGACGAGGACGGAACTATATGAGCTTCCTCGGTGAAACAGACCTTCTTCCCTGTCAAGGCGTCTCCCGGCTCCCTCTCCAATTTCGTCATGCTGTCCATTTTATCTTCTTCCTGCATGTAAGCCGGAGGAGGTGGGTGTGGGTTGGGGGATCGTAGAAGCAAGTCACACGTCAGAGCAAGTGGCTTCATGGTCCCACCGGCCAATACAGCCGCCTGGACTTGCTGTAACAGTGGGAACAGTGTATGTGTTCCGGGCTCCAACTGCAGCAGCTGAAGCGTAACAACGTCCGCTGGCTCCCTCGCCTGCTCCACCGGCGCTCGACGAAGGAGAACGCGTGTGTACTCATCCGAGCGACTGTACCAGCGCAAGAAGGCATCAAAACGGTGCAGCGCACCCGTGACGGACCGGGGATCCTGCCCAGCTGCCAAAGGAGAAGAATCCGTTGCCTCGCCACGGGCTTCCTCACTCCCTGCAGCCTGGCTGACTCCGCTATTCCGCCCACTTCGCCTTGACACGGTCAGTAAGCGCCTTTCCTGCCCGGGAGTCTCCTTCTCTTGCAGGGCAAGGAATGCCACAAGGCCGTGCAACTTCGGCAAAAGCCGGCTCTCACTCAAAAAGGCGAGAAAGCGGTAAACGTTTACGTTATCTACATTTGCATCAAACACAAAGGACGAAAAGTTGTAAACATCCGCTGCCGCCCCCGAGTTAGTTTTTCCCACAGAATTCATGTTTAAGTACGTTAACAAGTTATCAAGAAATGACACCATCTCACGAATGCGTTGCTTATTGCGTGTGAGGAGCCTCTTCTCGTAGCGGCTGTAGTACCCGTCAAGAAGTCGCCGCACCAGCGAAAGGTCCGCCGTCGACACCGTGCTTGCCGTCGCGTTGCGGCAGAAATCCACGAGGTTGTGTGCCTCATCCACGGCAATCACATCCCCAGAGAAATTGGGAGGTAAAATGGCATCTTGCTTGAGCGCCATGGTACGGTGGAGGTGCGAAGCGGCAGGATGAGCAGTGGCATCAAGTTCCCCATCACTCTTGGCCTCCTCCATTTTTGCCGCCGTTTCATACGCATTCGTTGCCGTCCCCGAGAGCAACGTGTGTCGCATCTCGGGCGAAACAAGATAGCTGTAGGGAATCAAAACGACGTCGGCCCCACGAAGCAGCTCACGGGTGGCGAGAAAAGGGCATGCACCGATGCGCTGTCCAATTTCCCGCATCTCCAAAAGTCCTCGAGGCGCGATCTCAACATAGTCCCTCAAAATCTTCAATCGTTCTCGTCGGCAGTAGCCACATCCTTTCGGCATCCCGCCCGCACTAACGTTGTCTTCAATATCTGTAAGAACTGAGCCCTTGCCTCGCATCTCGTGTTGTTTGCGCGCCGCGCGGCCCTCTTTGGAGTATTCGTACATCATGGCTTCCAGACACAACTCGTTCAAACGATCGTTATTGTTGCCCGCTGCGGCCCTTAGAGCAGCATTTATGCAAAGCTGCTGCCGCCCCGCCACATGCACATAACGCAGCATGTGCGGTGTGTCATCCAAAGCAGATTCCACGGCCTCCTCGTTAGGTTCGCCAGCAATGACTAAATGTCGACGACGACGATGGCGCGAACGAATCGGATGCCTTGCAAACACGGTTCGACGCAGCTCCTCAGTGAGCTGCTGCAGTTGTGTGTGGGTGCGGCTAGAGAAGTACACCTTTGGCTTTTGCAGTGCCGACAGTGGTGGTTCCCATTCCTCGCCATCCTCTTCCTCAGCATCATCGACAGCTACCATGGAGGAGGAGTTTGACGAAGACGACGAGGACGAGCTTTGTGCCATTGCGAACTCACGCCGTCGCTCAGCGGCGGCCGCAGCTTCGTTCTGATCCAGCAAAAACGCATCTGCTTCGTCTTCCCGAGCAGAAACCCTCATGTGTTGTTTAGCGGCCTTCTTTTCCTTTCGCCGCCTTTTGTGGCCGCCCCCAACCGCCCCTGCCAAAGGAGGGGCCAGGGCCGCGGTTTCCGGCGGTGACGCATTCTGCTGCTGCTGCAGCGGCGGCGGCGTGCCGTCGCTTCCCACAGCTACAATGGGCTCAAAGACGTGCGACAGCACACCGTTCAGAAGCACCTGCGTCTTGCCCGTCCCGGTGGGTGATTCAAGCACGACGACGTCTCCCGCCGCCAACCCGCCGCGAATGGCCTCCATCGCATGCAGCTGCAGCGGGTAGGGGTCAAAGGGAAACGGCACACGGAAGCGACCAGCATCGTACATCACCTCACTTTTAGGCGTATTACCCCATCGCACAAAGGTGTCCAGATAAAGAGAGGAAGAAGGGCAAAATAAAAATAAAAGTAGTGAACGATAACAAGTGTCGAGAGAAAAGTAAGAGAGAGGGAGGCAGTTTAAATACGAAGGTTCACGGCAATGCGGAAGGGTTATTTTGTCTAAGATGGAACCAACGAATGTCAGCACCGCAAGCCGGTCAACGAATTTGGTCTATTCATCTGCAGTACCCCTCCTGAGCTGTTGCCGTGCCGCGGTAACCTCGTAACAAAATCAAAAGAACGCATATACATCACATGAAGAAGGGAAAAACGGAGGAAAACCCGAAAACAAAAAAAAACACACACACACACGAAGACGCAATGACCTGTTCTCACTCATCTTGTGTGTGCGTGTGTGTGTGTGTGTGTATGACGACAACGGCAGGTGAGTTTAGGAAACCACACCACTGTTTGCAGAAAAGGACGGGGCCCATGAGAGAATAAACCCATAAAAAAAAGAGAAGGAAGCAGCTTCCCCGATAAATAATAACAGTAATACGACAGTTCACCTACAAACAAACACATATTTAATGCAGCTAGTTGGACAAGGTAGCGCAGAGGAAGAAGAATACATAAATAGTACTAGTACGGCGCAACGTATGGCGAGCACCATCGCGCGTCTGTACCCAATATCGCCTTCTGTGACTTCTCAGAAGCATTGGAAGCATCAGGGCCCGGGGGAAAAAAAAAAGAGCAAAAAGGGAAGAAAAAGAAAAGCGAGAAAAAAGACATCTCAACTCAATTCTTCTTTCGTCGGCTTCCAGTTTCCCGCTGTATAGGCAGGAAAGATGCCTGTTGGGTCCTGCACGCGGCCGTGCCGCATTGGGTACTTGTACCTCGTCCGCTCCGGCCCCTTGGCGTAGTTGTCGGTGTCGGATTGCTTTGTGTGCGCGCTGTTCGGCGACGTCTCACGCGCTAAAGGCGCGCTGTCATAGACAGAAGGCACTTTCTCCGTACGATTCTGCTCATCAACCGTGCCCGCCAAAATCAAAACATTATCTGCCTCAAGAGTGCCTTTTGCCTTCACCCCAGGGAAGTCCACCGAGACCACGCACCGACTATCGACGAACGCTGTCCTCATGCTCATGAGCGGTTGTTCGTACACAACGTATTGTTTTTGTTTTCGCAGTGGTATAAGAGGAGAAATGTTGTAACGATATAGGTCGACTGGATCGTTCTCTTGAAACTCGAGGGAGGAGTATGAAATAAACGGCGGTGGTCGGAAGCAGGCCAGAAACGATTTTTCTTCACCAGGGTATATCGGCTCTGAAGACACAAATGGCTCTCCCACCTTTACATGCCGAACGTACAATACACCACCTGGGTTAACTTCAATGTGGTTTGTTATCTGCACACGTACGCTATTCAGGGTTTTACGCGAGTCGTTGCGGACCTTGACGTGTACTTTTATTGCGTTACTATTGTCAGGCGCATCCATGGCGTTGTTGTCGGCGTCAGAGCTTGCGGTGCTCGTGTATTCGTCCATCACGACTACTGTGGGTTCAATGGTCGCCTCCGTGGCGATGAACTGTCCTGCTTTGGGGAACCAGAAGCGTCCCAGGCAGAAAAACTTGTGCAGCTGCGCAAGCGAGACCAGTGCCTCTTTCCCATGCTCCTCCAGCCGTTGACGCCGCTGCGCCGCAGAAATGGCGGACAAGACGTAAAAATTGCGAACACATTTTACATCAAACCCACGCGGAATATCAACGTACACCTTTGCCGTGTATGACATGCGCGCCTCAGAAATGTCAAACCGGGACCGGGTATCAAAACTGGGAGGCAAAAACATTGGCAAACGCAATTCAAAGGGGTAATTGTGTGTCCCTGGCATCAGTACCTCCGGCTCACACGCATCGGCTCCCTCATCCTCGCTCAGGTCAGCAATAAGAATGAGTGTGCGGTCTGGCGTGTAATTCTTAGTAGCGTCTCCAGCAAAGGTATACACCTTGTCGTAGTGTACGCGTGTGCTGTGTTGCACCAAGCGGCCAGAGTTGACTTTGGCATACTCCTCGCCTCGGATGCGCAATCGAATCGCCCGCGATGCGGTCTCCTTCTTCACAGAAACTTCAATAACTCCGGAGAGAAGGCCGCCAGGGAGGTACTCCGCGTTTTCGCTGTGTAATCTGAGCCGAACCTCGACGTTGTCCCGGCCGAAGATGCCCATCGTTCGGTGTTTACAATTCTGCAGGACTCATGACGTACACGGAGAGAAGGAACAGCAAACAAGAGGAAGAATAAGAAACAAAACAAAACAGAAAAAAAGAAAACACACACACTACGGCAACAAACAAAGGGGCGCAAACACATCACACATGAGGCACACAGAAGGCGAAAGCAAACACCACAGGACATCTTAACGAAGCTCCACACACATTTCTGTTTGGTTTATATGCATACAACCCTGATGGCTGTGGCACCTCCCCCGCATCCAGTACTCTCTTCATGGTGCCCGTTCCTCTCTCACTGGCGCAGTAAACACAAGTAAAGTCTTGGGGAACCCAGGGCGTTTATACGCAGAAAGTTATGAATACGCAGCTTAACAAGCGCAGGGCGAGATTCACCTCCTCAGCGCTTCTTGGAGCTGCCGCTGCCCTTGTTGCCATCCTCCCTCTTTGCACGTGTTTTACGGACCGGTTCCTCGCCGTTCTCAATGGCTTCCACAACACGCTTCCGCTCCGCCCGGGCCTTTTCCTCACGGCCCACGCGAAGTCGGTCTGCGTCCATCAACAGTGCCGCATTCTTTGCCGCCGTCTTAAACGTCTGGCCGTACTCCTGGCGGGCGCGCTGGAGCTGTTTTCCCATCTTGCTGCGCAGATCAACCTCGTGGATGTGGCCTTCCTCAACACCGTTTGGGAGTCTAGTGCAGTCCGCGTTCGCCGTGTCCCGCGCGGCAAGCAGAACCGTATCAATCGGCCCTATAGGCGTATTATCATCGTTAAGTAGCCAATACGCACCTTCCATCGACGGAGCGGTGCTGATGAGGTGCCAACTCATCGTCGCTTGCTCTCCACGTCCCCCGCCACTATGCCCATTGGAGAGGACGCGAGCCCGCTGCTCCTCTACACTCAATTGAAGCATGTCGGGAGTGACATTCGGGGCATCACAGTTGACAAACTTCAGCAGTTTCATTTCGCACGCTGATGCACGCTACACCCTGATGGCGTTTTTTTTGTCTTTCTGAACCTTTCTCACGCAGACCCTTTTCCTTTAATTACCTTTCCTGCTTCTGTGCTATCCCTCCTTCACGCACGCGGTGTGGGCAGCCAGCCTGACCCTGTTTCTGTGCATCCATCCACGGAGACGCACGTACGGGGAGAAAGAGGCGAGAAAAAAAAAAAAGAGGCCGCGCGCCGGTGCGCACATGCAAGCCGTGGCGGGAAGAGGAGAGGCGAAAAACCCCTCCCACGAAGGAAAAAAAAAAAAGGACAACCCCCACCCGCTGCGGGAGGAATGGGCGCACTGCGTGCGCTGAAAAGCGATTGGCGTGCGTCGACTACGCGTCGGGGCCCCGCCGCCGGCCTTCGCGTGAGGGCAGAGGGGCGCGGCCGCCGCAAAAACGTAAGTCACCCGGCGACGGCCCTCCCGGCAGGACCGCCGCACTGTGATTTTCGATCGCCCAAAGTGCGGTTTTTTCAGCGCCGCGGCAAACAGGCGCCCGCCCCAGCCGCCGCGCGGTTCACCACCGATGCCGCGGCAGGGCAGCGCGAATGACGGCCCGCGCGCGCACGCGGCGTGAGAAGCCCAGTCTGCACCGACGAGGCTGCGCCGCTCCGCAAGCGCCTCGTTGCACGTAGAATAATGCGCAATCGCGCTCGTCATGCGCGGCTGCGTGGCGTGGCGAGCGTAGGCTTCACATGCACAGTCCTCTGCCGCTTCCGCGCATTGAGGCTCGAGGTTACTTCTTCACACCCCCGTTCCTTGGAGAAGAACCTTTTCTTCGACACTGACTTGCGTGTGAAACATCAAATTCAATCGAAAAAAAAACACGAAGAACAACAACAAGAAAAAGAGAAAAGAGGAAAATAATAATAACGAGAGAAACACTTTGCCGCCCACGCATTTACGCCACAAGCGCATGCCCTTCATATTTGCAACGTATATATGTACTTATTTCAACTCTTCTTCGCAACTGGATGTTTCACCTGCAAAGGCACTCACATGGCTAGTTACCATGTCTCTACGTGCACCCTCCGAACTTTTCTATGCAGTGTATACGTGCGTGGGTAGTTGGGCATCTGCGCCGTGCGCTAACGCCTCGTTGCAGGAATATAAATATAATGGCAAAATGCACGCATTTGCGTGTCAGGGTGCAATTGTGTCACCCAAATTCCCCTACCCCTTTTCATTGTAACTTAATTTTTCTCCCGCTGTATGCATACACAGCAAAGAAGGTACAGCAGCGGTGCAGTGCTTCCTCTGTCGCCTTCCGCGTGTCCCGAACGTGGGGCAAACCACGCACCACACACGTCAGAGCATACGCAGGCTTCCTCGCAGTTCACACTGTTTGTTTCTCTTCCCGCTCTCTGAAGTTTGTACGCATGGCCTCGGCACGCCCCCTTTTGGCTCCGTGGCGCCCCCCCTCACCCCCCCCCCCCCTCAGCGCAATAAACACCGCCACGACAGGGGGAAAAACAACAACAAAAGACGACGTGCGCCTTCACCGTCGCCGGGGCCTGTGGCGGCGGGGCTGGCGACAGAGTCACGAAACGCAAACACACACACACACACACACACACACACACACACACACACACACACACAGACG